GTGTTCCCTATCATCAGCTTCCTACTCCCCTTCTGCCTTCTGGGCCTTGTCACTGGACTCCTGTACCTCGTTACTCTCATGGTTTTACTGGGCTCGACAGCAACTTTTTGTTTTAAATACAATTATTTAAAGTCAGTTAAGTCTTCTCAAGATTATCCATCTTTTCTGCCTTTAACATTTTTTTAAACATGACACAATTTTAGCTTATTCCTCCATTTGATTAGCTCTCAATTAGTTGTATTAATACATCCAGATGGTTCCACTTCACATACTCAGTTGTATGGAAATTTGGGGGCACACAAAAGATTTCTGTTGCAGTATTTCACAGGTGGAGAAGTAGGGGTATCACAACACTTCGAATATAACTTAAGTCAGACGACCATGCGCGTTGTCTTTCTAGCGTGGGTCTCCTAGTTCTCTAACCCTCCGTGAGACATTTTATCACCTACACCATTGCTTGATAATACTTCCTTATGTTATCTAACAGGTCTTTAGGTGGCGCAAACATTTTGCTCTCCACGATGACTAAAGATTGGCGGTTCAAATGCAAACAGCCTGGAAATCTGCTTCCGCTAAGGTTACAGCCAAGAAAACCCCATAGAGGAGTTCTACTCTATAACAAATGGGTCGTCAAGAGTCAGAGTTCGTTCGATGGCAACTGGATTTGTTTTTCTTTTTAAATGTTATCTAATTAGTCCCTTATTCAAGATCTTTTTTGTCTCTTCATTTTCTACTGATCTAAGTACAAATTCACTCTCATGTTTGAGGTCTTCTGTAGCGTGGCCTCAATGTCATTTTCCAGCCATGATTCTTGTATCTTATCTACTTACGTACAGCACGTCTACAAAATTAGATTGTTTTTATTTCTCCAAACATCCAGAAATTGTAAGGCTTGCTTATTTTTATTTTTATCTTCTGTTTTCCTGGCTTTCTACTTCCCCTTTCGTTTGTACTTGTCAAAATCCTACTAATGTTTGTTGTCATTTAAATCAAATTGTCATCTCTTCCAGGAAGCCACTCTTGGTCCTTCCAATTTCGGTTGATCACTCCTTTCAAATTCTCAGTTGTACTTTGTAATTCTCTCATGTCACTTAGTATATTCTGTTATGTGTTTTCTTTATGTTCATATGTGATTCTTTAAAACTTGCTAGAACTTTGGGAAGAAGAAATACATTTTATTCATTTTTGAATTCCCTAAATGGACTAGTTGAATATTGTTCAATATATCTTATTACGTTGATTTGACTTGCTTTTCCATTTTTAAGTTAATTAAAATACTGCACAACAATGTGATCAAATAGATGTTTTCCATAACCATATGAAAATTTATATGGTCAAATGAGAATGTCTTTTTAAATCCTTCAATTTTCTTGAAATATCTCTGAGAGCTCTTGGAATTAACCTCAGAGTCAGCTTAAAACCCAGAAAATTGCATACATTTTGTTAGTTTAAGCACACAGTAAAATCCTTTATTAAGTCACTAGGCTTTTTTTTTTTTTTTAACAGCTTCCTTCTATCTCTTATTTCTGCTTATTTCACCATGAACCAAACCTAACCTCCCCTTCTTAACACCCCAATTCAAGAGAAATAGGCCTGGGTATGTGCTGATGATGATGTAGAGGCCAGAAAACCTGGAAAGACTGAACTTTCTGGAAACTTAGAGATTCTCCTCAAGAAGAAAATGGTATGATATAAACTCCTTTTTGAGTTGTCTAAGTGTGAGCTGTATGTAAAACTAACTGAGTCTAAGACAGAAATATTATTGAAAGTTTTCAACTGGAGAAGGGGCCAAATTCAGTCGGATTCTAGCAATATTAGGAAGTATTATCATTTTCTAAAATGCGACATTACAGACAAGATAAGAAAACAAAGCATAAGGAAATAAAGAAGACGTTACTTTGAAAACACCAAAGCTACACTTATCTTAGAAAAAGTGTATAAGCTAAATGAAATGCAGATAACTAAAATATGTATATACTTTTGAAAATTGACCAATATAACTACTTTTTTCCCTAGCATACTACTTAGAATAGCACCAGAGACAATTTGTACCTGTTGAATAGTTTTATAACATGAAAAGAAAATAGTTATAATAACTTACATTTATATAGCACTGTGTATGTGCCAGAGAGCCCCGGTGGCGCAGTGATTAACAGCTACGGGTGCTAACCAAAAGGTCAGCTGTTCGAATCTGCCAGCCACTCCTTGGAAACCCTCTGGGCGCAGTTCTACACTGTCCTATAGTGTTGCTATGGGTCAGAATTGACTGGACAGCAATAGTAATGGGTGCATGTGCCAGATATTATTCTAAGTTTTTCTTTTTTGGGGGGGGCGTAGTAAATAAACTTAATGTTCATAACGTATCTGTGAAGTCAGGTTCTACTATTACCTACCCCACTTCCCAGATGAGGGAAATAAGGCACAGAGAGAAGATAGATAACTTACCTAAATGGCTGAGCTGAGATTCAAACACAGGTAATACTCCAGGGTCTATATTTAATGCTTTTTACTACTTCATTATGCTGCCTCCCCCAAGCAGCATAGAAACACTCTGCACGAGAAATAATTACGGATTCATTGGGAAAGACAAAGAAACTCTCTCTTTGGGTTGTCTAGCTCTTCTGTAATCCCTATGTTTCTGAAGTTTTCATGTTACTCACCTCATTTTCCCTGAGTATTCTGATCAAATGGGCCACTTCTGAGCATCCCAAGATACTGCCCTGAATCAATACCCTAATCTCCACCAATTCTCTTTCTTCTGCAAGGCACATCGGAGCACTAACAGTGCAGAGATTTAGGAGCTGTTGCCCCACCAGAAGAGAGTTCTTCAGAAGGTCTCAAAAAGTTAAGGGGCTTAGATGTTCTTCCCTAAAGCAATGTTAATTCAGAGTTTATCTGTTTCATTTAGATGTTCCTGTCATTTAAAGTGAAGACAGAGGACAAAGAATTCCTGCATGGATGAAAGGAACAGCAGGAGAGAT